GCGGGGGGGGGGAGGGGGCCGGCGCCGGTGCACCCGCGGCCGTCCCGCGCAAGCCCGGCGACGCGGGGGGGGAGGGGAGGTCAGGTGGCCGTCAAGTCACAGTATGAGGGAAGTCGCTGACGTTGTGGAACAAGTCCAACCGCACCGAGGCCACCACGTGCGGAGCTCAGATAAATAGAACTGACCGTCTCGAAAAAAGCCAGAACCCGTCAAAAGCTCCACGCATCAGTGATATCTGCAAGACTGGCAGCAGCCTGTGACACACAAACCACACAGTATTACCCTAACATATAACACCATTGAGATTGCAGATGGCAGACGTGCATCAAACTGCGCACAGCCAGCGCGTAACAGAACCATCATCCCTTGCGCCAGCTCGTTCTCGCGGCTTACGACACAATGAATAAACTACGCATTTACGTGCTGCATCAAATTGCTTCCACATGTGTATTCTGAATGGGGAGACAGTTACTGCCAGCCGGTCAATTATGCAAAGCCGACATTTAGCCTGGAAAAACAGTGGGGAACATGACGGGCCCTGCCAGGCGGCCTAAACATGGAGATCTGCAGCGATAACGGTCGATACGCACCCAGCGCAACGCCCCGTGTTTAAAGCCAGCGCCAAACCAGTGACATCGGCATCAGCTTGGCGTTGAGATCGAGGCTGAGGGTCGCACCGCCAACAATCTCCGGTTGGCGCCTAATGACAGCCACGTGTACCTTTGGAACTTGGGACGCGAAATGGGGCACAGTAGGATTGATCACTTCATTTTGCCATTTCGAGAAACAAACGGCGTGTATTCACTTTTTCAGTTCATCTTTTGTTTTGTTTTTAGGTGCAAGGCATGTGAGGGAGAAGAGAAGTGGGAAATGAACGGCTATCTTTGCAGAGAATGCTGATTTTTCAATCGTTTTATTCGCCGTTTACATTTTTTGGAACTTCCCTGAGCCTGATGCTTCAAGAGCGACGGCTCAAGTGCTTGTAGGAAAAGGGATGGAGGTGATTCGAGCTCGGCTGAGTTAAGGCGAGGGGAGGGGGAGAGGCTCAAACCCCACCCAAACTGAACACGACCCTACGTCCATGTGTATGTGAATATACATGTGAATTTACGCTCCATGACATTTCAACCTGCTCCAACCACTTGACATCATTCCGAGGCCGCATAATCCCTCCCTGGACATGGTTTAGTACCCCACTGGCCTGTGCCGCCTCACACACCTGGTACAGCGACATTTCGAATCATCCCTCAGCTGGAGACACGCTTCCCAGTGAGTCACTTGGTCGGAAAACCGTCATAGGTATGTTATGAACCGGCTCGGGTTCATAATCGGTTCCGTGAAAGAGCCAAGACCGGTTAGTCTCCATTACAGGTTCGGGGCGGCGCGCACACATACAAAAAACACTGCTGCCCAAGTCTCCGTTTTCTTTTGTCTAGAGGTACCGCCGCGTGTCTGCTGACGTTTTCCCTGACACACCCTTATCCAGGGGCGCAGGGACTAGGGGTCCCCCGTGGCTTTCTGTGAATTAAGCATTGATCCTGAGGACGTTGACTGGAAAGAAGTGATAAAAACTGGCAATCGCCCCCCCCCCCCCCCAACCAGGACTTCCATTACCCCTGTTCGGAGCTGCACGACACCATCATATTTGTGTGACGCCAGACTTCAAGCTTGTTAAATATGCCAACCGCAGGTACCCCCGCAGAGAAAAACAGCCCACACGCCAGTCACCAAGCTCGACAAGAGTACCACAGTGCTCATCCACATACAGGACGCACCATATCATCCGCTGGACCAGGCCAGCTTTTTCCTAGGGTTGAAATTGGTAACGTTACGTCTGTTGGCGGAATGCAACCATTGACGACCACTTAGTCTGAAACGTCCAAGGTGCAACTCAGGTAGTTGACTATCGCGAAAGCCACCGAATTTCTCACTCCACATCCATCCGCAGCCATGGTCACATCCAGTACACCATCTGAGTGGCAATCTCCTGGATCTGCGCCATCCACGTTCGCGCGAAAGTAGACCGGGGGGGGGGGGGTCGGAAAGCTCCCCGAAAGCCACCCGGCGCGGACACCGACACTGCGCAAACCAGAGCGACCGTGGTGGGGTGAGGCTCTACTGGATCCGAGCGAAGTGAGCACGCTCTAAACTTCCACCGGATTATCGGCCCTGTTTCATCCACTTGCATGCCATATAGTCGTGTTATGCGTGGCACGCTGCTGAAGCAAGACGTCCGTCAAGGCAAACAAATCATTGGTTGAAATGGTGACATATCTAGTCGGCAAATTTAGACTGTGAAAAGGAAAGCTTTCCGTGATACCGCCTCCCCGTTTGCGTGTATTTAGTTGACGTATTCAAATATTTGAAAGCACTTGTTATCCCCGTCTGGGATGTGTTTCATCCAGATTAATGAAATGTGCTGAACCGTTTAAACGTTTATTATCGGATAAGTATAACCAACAACTAATTTTCTCCCTTTCCTGCATTGGAATCGTTCGATACCTTGGCTCAGAAATAATGCATCGCGAGCTGCTACAATAACGTCTTCTTTGTCGGCCTAGCGCAACAAGGAGATCTGGATCGGCTAGCCAACGGGTTAAGGATTTCAGTTTTGCTAGGGACTCGAGGTTGACGAAAGCAAAAGACCAAAGGGGAAAACGCCCCATTGCGGAAATAGGACACAAACACGCCAATATTCAGGACAAATCAGCACACACTGAGCACAAGGTTTAATTCATAAAATTATATCTCACATCGAGAACGAACCAGAATTGTATTACGTCGACATGGGCAAGCCATCCACATAGCTCCCGAAAACCAGCTACATGCTACGAGATAACAATCCACACACAAGCACTTTCAAGATAAGCAAAGCCATTGCCTGAACCAAAATTCATCCCATATAATTGATTCAAAAATATTTAAATCCAATGAGACTCAGCTCAAGCTTTAAGAACATCACACCGATGCTCAAAAGCAATCATATCTTGATCAAGTATGATTGTTTTCAAAACGTGTTAACACCTTGCAAAGAAACTATAATTCCGAGCTTTCCAGCCAAGTAATGCATCCTCCCCGCACTTAGCCGCCATACCTTGTCACTGAGCTGAAAGTTCACATTTACCACTCACGGGCTAGTTTATTGAACTGAGAGGCCTTACCAGCGCTCTCGTAAGCAAAGATATACTAGCGATAACAAGCGATGCTTCATTCCCAGCTATCCATCAACAATCGGACACGCTTGACCCGTCCAACCCTTCCCCCCCCCCCCCTGAACGGCGTTACTTGCCGTAATCACCACACCCATACGCTGCCCCGCCCCCGTTCAGTGGCAAGCGCACGTGTCCGCCAGAGACAGACCTCACACGCAGGAGAGACGTAACACGACCTCGTTTGACCCGACATGACCCTCGTTTGACCCGACATGACCCTCATTTGACCCGACATGACCGGCCGACCGCAGCATCAGCTACCTATTAACAAATGACGAGATGAAGATTGCAGATCAGGCACCGCCCCGGCCCTGAATCTCCGATCCAGCACGCCAGGCACGGAATCAGCGATGGGCGTGCTTTCCCACGCCAAGGCAGGTGGCGGATCGGCCCGAGCTGGCAACGGCAAGCTGTTGCGTGACCATCACTGCAGAATACCGTACTTTGGCTTCATTCCGAAGACAGGTGGCGGCGTGACCGAGCAAGATCTATATCAGGCATTCACAATCTTAATTTTTCGCGCCGCGACGCGAAAGGGAAGTGGCCCGCGCCCAGACAGACGGCAATTATCCTATTGACAAAAATTGTCGCTGGGCAGTCCCGCTACCGCCGCGCGGGACTGTGTGATTACTGCGAGCCAAGATAATCGCTACGATTGCTAAGAACACCAAGGGCGCATTTCTTTCGGCTTCTTCGCCAGATCACTTCATCTCCATTGCAATGGCACGTTACCCCTGAGCAGGCGTTTTTTCGAGACGGCGGGACGGAAACAGGGAGCACGGATTGACCCCAGCGTGGCCGCCTCAGCTGAGGGCGTCGCTCCGACACTGGACCGACCACTGACCTCCGAGGTGACGCTGCCGGTGTCGCCGGCCAGCTTGAGGTGGTCCTCCTTGGCCAGGCCGTTGGTGGGCGTGTCGGGCAGGCTCATGGCGTGGCCGGCGACCGTGGGCGTGGCCGTGCCGGCGGGCGGCGCCGGCGGCTGCGGCCCGGGCGCCGTCGGGTTCCACGGAGACGATATCTTGGCGAGGCTCAGCAGCGGCGTCGAGCTGGCGGCGGGGACGACCGCGTCAGGGCGGGCCGGCAGCCGCCAGCGCCGGCGTCACACGGTCACACGTGTCACGGCCGTCAGCAGCGCAGCGTCCGGACGCCGCTCCGCGCAGCCGGCGCCGAGCGGGTCAGCAGACCGGGCAGGGCGGCCGTATTATCTGGCTCCGGCCGCCAGCCCGGGGCCGAGCCGAACACAAACACTGTCGATCGGCGCACGACAGTCGGTAAACACGGCATCCCGGCGGAGCGGCCGCTGAATCACGGCCGACGCCGCGGCGCTGGCCCGACACCAGCCGGCAGCGGCGGCGCCTCGCGCGCGGGGTCAGACGGCACCGCGCGGAGACGCGCCCGGCTCACAGGCCAAACGTTTACGCTAGTGTGAGTCATGGCGGTGTCGTGTTGCCGCCGCCTACCGAGCGTGTGACATCAATGAAGAAGGAACGAGTTGTTTTACGAACCACAAAATACAGCCCAGAATTACGTGCGGAACTCTCAGTCATGATGCGGGGTGCAGGTGAGGTGAGGATATCAGTACGGACAACAAACACACCTAGGGATTTATGACTGATGTGCTGAAATCGTTTTACATAGGCGAGTCGCAAAGTCAACATCGTCAACGAGCCAGCCTGGATTCATCCCTTGGAAAAAAAAAACGGCGAATCTGTGCTCGCCATTGCAGACAACTGTTTCTGGTGACCGGGTCAGGCTAAGGTTTGCGGAGACTCCCAGTGAAACCGTGACTTGACTCTGAGACCGTTCCGGGTGACCAGATCAGACTAATGTTAGCAGTGACTCCCAGTGCCACCGTAGGCCGACCCCGACACTCATCGAGGTGACCAGATCAGCCTGAAGTCCTCAGTGCACCCCGCTGAAGCCGTGCGCCTGCGCCGGAGACGGTCCGGGCGACCGGGTCACGCTAAGGTCAACAGCGCCTCCGCTGACCCTGTGGGGGGCACCCGCCGGCCGCCCGCCAGCGGCTGAATCATCCGCTCGCCACCAGAGCGTGCTCTCAGCGCTGGCGGGCGGGCCGTGCGAGCTCCCCGGAGCCGTGCACGGGAAGGCCTCGGGTGCCAGTCAATACCCATGGACGGGCGTCCCGTCCTGAGTTCTCTCACGGGAACAGGGCGCCACTCGCACTTATCAGACAACTGCGAGCGCGGTGTGCTGACAGCTAGGCCGCGTGAGGAAGCCGCTGCACTTTGCTTGGAGGCGCACGAGCTTGACCATACGGTTAACATAACAGCTCCGCAAGTGGGTGTGCATACTGATACGCCGGACAGAACGCTAACCCGCTTCCGCTATTTACGACGCATGTGGCCGGTCATTGTTGCCGCCATTTCGCACGCCAAACGACGCGGGAAAGCCACGGTACAACCGGACCCGACTGGCGTACTCACGACCTCGCCGTCAGGGAAGAACGCTGGTCCGTACTATACGCACCATATTCCCGCACAAGCACACGTCACCGGTTCACATACGTCGCAAGATGGCGCACGCTATTCGTGACCTCCCCCGCTATCAGTGACTCCCCCCGCTATTTGTGACCTACCCCGCTATTTTTGACCTCTCCCCCTATCCGTGACCTCCCCATATATCCATGACCTCCCCGCTATTTGTGACCTCTCCGCTATTTGTGACCTCTCCCTGCTATCCGTGACCTCCCCCGCTGTTTGTGATCTCTCCTCGCTACCCGTGACCTTCACCGCTATCCGTTACCTCCCCGTTATCCATGACCTCCCCCGATTTTCGTGACCTGCCCCCCCCCCCCCCCGGACTTCGCCACGCTCGGCGCAGCCACTCAGCACGGCCGGCTGTGCACGGGTCACGGCCGGCCGACCGAACGCCTCGGGAGACCGCACCGCAGCGGCGCCGGTAACAACTTAATGACGCCCGGCCGCCGCCGGCGGCGCTCCTCCATCGGCGGCCGCGCCGGGCCCGCGACGCCGCCGGCGGCTGCTCGGCAGAGGCCGGTGCGACACGGCCGGCGGTGAGCCGTCCGAGAGCACCTCGACTCGGTCCGGCCGGCGTCCCCCACCCACGGCTCGCTCTTAGCTGCGGAGCCTCGTGCACGCCGGCCGTGGCGCAGCGCCGGGGCAGTGGCGCAGGCAACACCGGCCGCGGCAGGTCTGAGAGCGCACGCCTGCGGTCGGCGTCACAGGAAAGAGCCCGGCCGCAGCCAGCGGCGCCCACCGGCCGGTCCTCAGACACGGCGTGTTGTCATCCAGGTGACTCACGCCGCCAGATGAGTCACGCACATGGCGCACCGGCTGCCGCTGCCGGGCCCGACGCGCCGCCACCGCTGCCGCGCCCCGTCACCGGCACTGGACCAGTGTGGCCCAGGTGCCTCGGCAACAGATGCCATGGAGACAGACACATCTTCGCCAACGCCCCGAAGGTGACCGAAGTCAGCGAGACAGAAAATCAATCCATGAATGGCAGACGGAAATTGTCATAAGGGTGCAAAACTGAGAGCAAAAGTCGTCCGTGAAGTGCATCTTTTCCCGCCATGAATTTGAGCCCTAGCATTTGACATCCTGCTATGGACCGGACCGGACCGGACCGGACCGGATCGGATCTACCAGATCAGACCGCGGCATGGAACGGAACGAAACGGAACGGAACGGAACGGAACGGAACGGAACGGTGGCCGGTGCCGGCCGTCATGACTCTCCTCCTCAATCCTCTCCCGCTCCATGCAACGTCCACGCATCGGACGCGGTGTAGCGACTGTGTCGCGACGGCGACTGACCTCAGCGCCAGCGGCGGAGGGTCAGCGCCCGGCCCAGGTCGTGGGTCAGGGTGGCGGGTCGGCGCGCGGCCCGGGCCGGGTCGGCGCGCGGCCCGGGCCGGCGCCGCGGCGTGGCCGGCCGGCCGGAGCCGTGTTTACCGAGCACCGCGCCGGCCGGCCGGCGGCCCGGTAAACAGATGAAATCAGCGGCGCCGCCGCCGCCGCCGCCGCGCCTTAATGGGCGGCGCCGCCGGCCAGCCCGTCCGTCCTCCGCCTAGCACGTGGCCGGCATCCCGTGCCATGCGCCGACACAGGGCCGCCACCGATCGTACCACACGCACACAAACTGCATCGACAATGGGGTTGGTGGGTGACTTTTGGAGGGAGAGGCAAGTGCACTTCAGTGGTACGACAAGTGCGGCAGTGCTTCAGGTTGCGACGTTACTGCGCCGTAATCTGCCGAGACGGTGCCGAGGTGTTATTCCGTGGTTTAGTGGGATTTAAGGACGCACCGACAGCGGAGGTCACTTCGCAAACAAAACGTAGCCTTAACTAAACAGAAGGCTTTGCAAATTGTCCGAAAATACAGCCTGCCAACAAAACGCGAGAAACTGACCCGTCACGTGATGTGAGATGTGACCGGACTCGTCAGGTGACGTCCACGATTGAGCGTCTTCTTGGCCAAACGAGAACACGAGTAAATGACGTCACACACCGCAAGAGGAGCATCACAACGACCACGGTATGGCAGTTTGGTTTGACGGCGCGTCGACCGCAGCGGCCATCTTCCTTGTCACGCGGTCTCCAATTATTCCACACATGCGCACATAAGGCGCTAAGCGCTCTAAGTCGCCAAACCTAAATGAACCGCATCCAAGTTACAGTCAGTCACTGAGCGATAAGTAAGTGAGTGGACTATCTATATTTTATAAGTTATATGCTTGTAAAATCTTCGCGCCGATCATCGGCTCCTTGCCAACGAGACGCAGGGACAGTCTCCGTCGTGCGTAGAGGCCGAAGTTACGCTGACGCCCAGCATCCAGGTGCTGACAAGCACATAAGCAACTGACAGTGGATGATCACACCTGGAACATGATGGCGCTCGACCTCCGTACAGAAGAAGACCGTGCGTGCCGTAGGCGTGGCCGACAGGGCGGCGACAAACACTGACTTGGCCGTTGATGCTGCTGCGGCGCGAGGAGGGCCCGCCACCCACTCCGCCCTTCACCACCCCGCGTTAAGTTCACGACAATGACCGCGACCCGGCCTGCCGTCACCAAATGACAGGTAACTTCATGTCGCGCATGTGTGAGCAATGCGAAGCCCGCAGAAAGTCGCTTTTTCCTGTCTGGACTCCCACGTGCACGACTGCCACACACCGTGCAAATGTAATAATAGCCATGTCCGCTGTCCCGGACTCGTAGTTGCACCGTCTCTTGCAACCACATGCTTTCCCCGTTCTACCGACGATTGTAAAATCTCGGTACGCCTAATCGCCTCAGCAAACCAAACGCTCCAAACGCGCCGCGGGCTGTTACAATGCCACGCCGACGGCACAACAGCTCGGCCGCGACCTCACGCCAGCTGGAGGCCTTCCGCAAGGGCCCGTTGCCCCGGGGGTATCCGGCGCGCGGTGGAAGGGCCGGGCCGTCATGACGCCGGGACGTCACCACCCGTCTGCAGTTTTTATTGCCCTGCTTGCCATCCCGCGCTGCTATTAGCACAACTGCTACCACCCAGTACGTTGATCGAAGGAACACAAGTGTCTAAAGAGCCGACGCTATCAGGGCAGTTTCTTATCGGGCCATAACGCGGCACGGCACACGTGGAACCGGCTGTGGTCGCCGTGCCCCGTCAGCATGCGCCTTCTGTCGCCCGGCTGGCCGATGGGCCCCCACATGTCGGTCGGATGAGGGGATGGAGGTACATCGACGACCGTTGGTGACACCGGCCCGCCCTGGCGTTATTTGCAATCGAGCCGTCGAGCAGGACTGCTCGCGGGCTGACCTCCCACCTTCGCCTTTGACCCCCGCGGTCTCCGGTCACCCTGCACCCGGCTGGATCGTCGGAAGACCGGCGGGAGGCCTTCAGCCGTGCTGTGGCGCTGCGCGGCGGACATCGGTCACGCGGTGACCTACCAGGACAGTCGCCGGTGCCTGAGGCAGAGGCTCCGCCCGATGATCACGCGACGGCGGACACACCCAGCATTGAGAACCAAACCGTCGAAGCAATTGGATTGGCGCTGCCGCAGGGGCACTGAGCAACACCGGG